CTGCTGTTTTCATCCCGCTTTGCCTTAACACACACAAGTGATATGAGTTTTGCTTTCAATAGTTTGAGGTGCACTTTCACAAACCCCCCTGACCTATCTCTTTGGAACTTGGCAGGCTTCATGCCTTCATAAGGGTCTACCATCCCTGCTGTTTTAATCCAAACATGCAAAAAAAAGACAAAGTTATCAGTGTTTTAGTGATTCCCCATTATGATCTATGGCTGAATCTTCGAATCGGTGCCAAATCGGTCGAATTGAATCAGGACAGTGATTTGAATCACCAAATCGAATCACTGTCCCTCTGAATTGGCCGAATCTAAAAGCGAATACTTGGTGCTTTGCACAGGTCTACTGGGCAGCCTCCACTCCTCTATCCTCTTACCTAGGCATATGTGTCGAAGGTCTGGGTGACCTCTCATGCATACGTCATGATCTAGAAGGATTAACAGTTGGCAGGATCAATGAAGGGATGCTACCTTTCATTCTTGCAGGATGGGTCTCCAGTCACAAGACACCCTTTGCAAGCTCTCTTTATCTGGTCAGTTCTTCAGAATAAGAGGGAGTTATCCAAAGTCCTTTGGGAACAGGTAAGACATATTCTTCCACTTCCCCAGAAGTTATTTTCCAGACCTGGTCTGAGGAGCATATTAGAGCAATATGATGATACTTTCATTGCATGGCTGGTGTGCGCTTGTTTTGAATGCTGACTGTGTGGCATGCTTCACCAGAAATCGCATGAAAAAGGGGAGGGGGAGAGAACAAACCAGTTTGTCCTTAAGGAATATTACAAATCTTTTCCTTGTGTAACAAATTGTGAATGATTTGAATCTGTGCTAGAAGGAAAATAATGTTGTCTGTGCTTTGCCAAGAGCTTTGTACAAATTCCCAATATCATGTTTTTTAGTTTTTGTGCTTTTTTTTCCAGACCAGGGGCTGCACTTTGGCAGCACTAGGTGCCAGTAAGCTACTAAAAAGCTTGGCAAAAGTGAAGAATGACATTAATGCTGCTGGAGAGTCTGAGGAGCTGGCCAATGAATATGAAACTAGAGCAGTAGGTAAGCTATGCACATTTTGGAAAACCTGGGCAGAATTCAGGGAATAGGTAATCAGCAGTGTCCACTAGATGCCAAGTTTTTTACTATAGCTTTGTGGAATGTATTGCATGTTTTAATGACTGCTTCTTACTGCACTGAGCAGCAAACGTGGGCAAATCATAACTTTTTGCTGCTGTTTTGGGTCAGGAGGGGTCTAAATCGGCTCAGATCAAACAAAGTGTTAGAGTTCTTATAGTAAAGCAAAAAAATCCAGATTTCATTTTTAGTCTACTTGAAATGAACCATTTGCTCTGATGCAAAATGTTCTGCTCAGTCTTCAGGTTACTTATTTATATTTTTTAAATTTAGGACAATTTTTTTTAATGAAAAGTGCCCCTTCAAACAAGAAGTAGAAAAAAACATTGTTTTGAAAGTATTGGCATATTAATAAAAATGATCTGAAATTATTTAACAATGCTTTGACACTTAATTTCCCTCTGTTGTTTTTATCTTCAACCTGAATTTGTGGATAGGTTTGGGCCTGCTGAAATTCCATTTTTTCGACAACTTACTGTTCATGGCAAATATGCTACCTATTTTGACCTGAATCTCTAAGGGGAAGAGAGAAGGTGTATATATGAACTGGAATAGAGAACACGGGGTCAGGCAAAAATCTCCTGAGGAGTTCCTGAACAGTACAAAGAATGCTAAAGAGAAAGCGGGGCATGTCTTTATGAACTTACAGACACATCCTGTGTGCTTGGAGTAAGGTGGGAATGGAAAATGAACTCAGATCTCCTGAAGGCAGTCTGGTGCCCTAATACAAAACTATAGGTCCTGTAATGCTAAGAACTTAGGGGTAAACTTCCTAAGATGATAAGTTGTGTTGTGATAGTAGTGAGGCAGCATGTTAGAGCTTCAGTAGGTATTTGGTGGTGGACTACTTAGTTTTACATTTCTTGTCTCTTTTACTTTTCATATCCCTTTAACATCCTTTTAGTTACCTAGTCCATGTGATGTAGAGCCTATGGGCTGGGAGTGACCTCATGGGCTGGTTATAAACAATAGTTTGACTGAGGAAAATACTGGACTGTAACGTCTTGTTTTGTTAATGAGGCAGTCAGTTTTTTTGGCTTATGTGAAATCTGGAGAAATATTGTAGTAATTAATTACTTCTTCAATGCCACAGTAGCTAGGGGACTATTTAGGCATGAATAAAAACCCAACCAGTGGGTGTAACAGTTATCAGAATGGATTAAAACTGGTCCTTGTTAATCCATATTATACCTGTAATATAATGTGCCCAGGTAACCGGTCTGCACTTTGCCAGCTACATTCTTCTATCACCAGTTGAACATTTCCCCTCCCCCACACTTGTCTCATACCTATCGTCTTCCAGCCCTCTGATCCTCACTGCCATGCATTTGCATTTTCACAGACCTGCATTTTGACTTCTGTTCTACCCAGGAGAGCACACAATTCACCAGTGAGACTCTCTATATGCCTGAAGAAGGGTGTTTGTGCCCAAAAGGTTGCAAAGAACAATTTTTCCAACTATTTAGGTGGTCTAATAAAAGATATCACATCTACCCAAAGAACCTTGTCAACCTATATCCTTACACCAGCATGGCTACAACCAACATCCCTAAAGCTGTGAGGTTACACATTTTGCATCTCAGTAGTGCTCTACCAGGTGCTCACAGTTAACATACTAAGAGTTGATTTATTTTCATAACTGGCGTCCCTGATGTCTCGGACGGCCAGAGCCGACTCGAGGTGAGTTAGAAATTGCTCGTTCATCAGGGCGGGCTGGTGAATGGAGAGGCAGACAAGGTTTAATGGTTGCAAAAACGTTTACTTACGCTGCGTGGAGTTGCGACGCAGCTGGTCCGGTCGTCTGAACAACCACGTGAGTTGTTCCAGCTGGCGGGGCCCAAGCCAGTGAATCCGTCTGTAAATCAAGCCGGCGGGAAAAGGGTACGTCTGGGTACGTCTCAGCTAGCTGCAAGTCAGATCTCTTCAGAGGCACTCTGCAGCGTGCTCAAAGTTCTTCGACTTGGGCAAAAGTCGCGTGAATTTTTAAACGGCTAGCAAGCCAATTACTAGCCGCCACGTGTGAATAATTTAGCACTGGCCAATAGCGGGACACAAATTTGCATTTGAATAGCGGGAACTCTTTGCACCGTGCATTTCTGTGCTGCAAGGAAGAAATACATCCTGCAAAGAAGGCTGCAAATTGGCGGGAACTCTCTTGCACTGAGGTCCTTCTGTGCAGCAAAAACCCTCGCTGTGCAAGAGGCTTTCATGTGGCAAGAAAATTCCATCGTGCCGAGGCACCAGAATCACTGGGTTATGACACCTGATACTCATGCTGGAAGTTTGAAGCCAAGCTTAGTTTTTCACTACTTTCACATGGCCAGGTTTCAGGAATCTGCCAGTAATTTCTGAACTCAGTGATTCTTCTGTAAGTATTGCAGTAGGCTTACTGGCACAGAAAGAGCATATTCCAGTTTGCTTACTCTTATTGAAGGCAGCAAAAAACTATAAGGACTAATTTTTATTGCTGTCATCATTGGATCTAAATCTTAATGAAAGAAAACAGATATTTTCTTGCCCATGCACAGGGCAGAGGTGTTAACTGAGAAGGTGCCATTTTTACTTGCTCACTTCCTGGAGCAAACTCACAGCTTAGTTTTATGTTGCTATCTATCTGCAAGCATCAAAGTGGCTTGAATTTTTCTTTTTTCTGTACAGAGATTAAATTAATGTACAGAGTTCATATGTGTCAGGTGAATATTTAAAAATATAGCAGTATGAACAGTTTAGGATTACATGCACATTTGTGAAAATGCAAAAGGTGTTTTTGTATTGCACATTACTTGCAAAAAACTATGAAGACACTTAAGTCAAACATCTGAACAAAGACGGGAAAAAAATAGTTCTGAGTCATGCTAACCAAAGACAGAGCTTAGTCATGTTGCATTTTTCTTTCCCTGTTCAAATATGAAACTAAGGTGTCTGTGGTTATTTTCAAAATATGCATACAATTTGACAGGTATGAAATAAGGTCAAACTAATCTTATAATGAACCTTAATATTGAGATTTTCTGCCTTCTGGTCTATGCACCTGTGACTTAGACTACAGACTGAAATCAGGACAGGAGAGAGGCATATCTGATGTAAGCTTCTTTTTTTCCTGTTTGGGGCTGTTATTCTTTTAGAGCTGTTCACTGAATGTTACAGCAGTGATGAAGATCTGGCAGAGCAGCTGCTGACCTACTCCTGTGACGCCTGGGGTGGAAGCAGTTGTCTAGAACTTGCAGTGGAAGCTAAAGATCAACAGTTCATTGCACAGCCAGGAGTCCAGGTAAAGTCAAGAAAGAACAGAGACTTAGGCAGATATAACTCAGATAGTCTGAATCATCAAAAAAGAATGTGTTTTATGTATGTCTTGAATTCATTTCCTCCTGAAAGGTTATGTTGATGCAAAAACTTTGCAAAACTATATATATATTAAAACAGTCCTATGACACAAACTCCAATCACCTGGAAATCAAGAGTTTTTGAGGAGGATTCCACAGTAGTACAAACATTTTCCCATTGGCAATTGTGAATTACAGTAGTATCATCCCACACTTGAGCATTTAACATGTTGGCAGTGCTGGAAAATATAACTTCCTGTAAGCTTGATTCTTTTCTAGCCATAACCTGAATGCAAGGAACTGTGCGAAGATTTGATGCTCAGAAATGTTGATCAGTTGCTGTAGGTGCAGGGATCTGCCCAAAGGTATTATGCCATGAGAAAGAAGCTTTAATTTGCAGCTGGAGTTCATAGGAGGCTTGTTTTTAGAAAGTGTACATCACCTTGCTTGTGTTCTATTCACTGCAGCTGCTGGAAACAAGGATACAACCCAGACCTTACAGACAGATACAACACTATCATTGGGCCAAGTATAATAAAATGGCTATTAGACCTCATCTCACATTCCCAACATCAACCAATTGGCATTCAGATCAAAGCCACAGTAACACTTATGACAGTACCATTTTGCCAATGTTTCAACCTCAGTAAGGCAAACTGGAAAGGCTTTTCAGCATACTTCGATGCTACAGTCAAAACCATCAAAGCATTGCCTGAGAACTATGACCAATTCATAGAAGCTGCACAGAAATCTTCAAGGAAGAGCACCATGTGGGGATGCCACAAGAATTACATCCCAGGCCTCACTGTGCAAACCACGGACCTATACGAAGACTATAGGCGACAGTATGAACTTTTTCCTTTTTCCACAAACACCATCACTACAGGTGAGGAACTCATGTTATCCATCACAGAAAAATGCAGAAAATCCTGGCAAACCCTGAATGAGTCAACTGATATGATGTATAATAGTAAAAAGGAATGGGTGACAATATGTCACCCCCACACAGGGAAAAAGGCCATCCCCACCTGGGCCAAAAGCAGGAAAGGAGCCAGGAGATCTGCTTGGCTTACCAGGGATATTAGGGAGCTATTAAAAAGAAAAAAGATGTGTATATATGTAATGGAGGAATGGCTCAGCAACCAAGGAGGAATACACCTGTATTGCTAGGGCCTGCAGATAACGAGGCACAGAAAGCTAAGGCAGGCATGAAGATCAAACTGGCAACCAGTATAAAAGATAACAAGAAGTCCCTCTACAGATACAAAAGGAGAAAGAAAAAATTGGTCTCCAATGTGAGACCCCTACTGAATACCCAGGGGCAGCCCACAGTTGATGCCTGTGAAAAGGCAGAACTCTTAAATACATACTTTGCATTGGTATTCCTGAAATCCAACGGGGGCTACTCACCTGACCAGAGGCCCAGGGAACAGGGGGAAGGCAACAACCTACAGGAAATCAGCCCAGAACAGGTGAAGGATCTTTTATAATGCTTGGACATTTTTAAGTCTGCTGGGCCAGACAATCTGCACCCAAGAGTCCTGAAGGAACTGGCTGAACTTATGGCAGCACAACTGGCCAAGCTGTTTGAAGAGTCATGGAACTCAGGAGTGGTCCTGGATGACTGGAAGAGGGCCAATGTGGTGCCTATCTTTAAGAAAGGGAAGAGGGATGACCCTGCAAACTACAGACCTCGATCCTGGGTAAAATCTTTGAAAAGTTGGTTAAAGAGGCTGTCAACTACAAGCTGGTAATGGATGGGGTGCTAAAAAGCAACCAGCATGGCTTTGTCAAGGGTAGATCATGCCTGATGAGCCTTGTGTCCTTCTACGACCAGATAACTAACCACCTGGATGAGGGACACAAGGTTGACATCATCTACTTAGACTTCAGTAGAGCCTTTGACTCTGTCTTCCATGGGATTCTATCTAAGAAACTGGGGAGTACTGAGCTGGACCAGTCTCCAGTGAGGTGGGTGGAAGACTGTCTTATTGGCCACTCCCAGAGAGTGGTGATCGATGGGATGGCCTCATCCTGGAGGGCTGTCTCCAGTGGTGTCCCCCAGGATTCAGAGCTTGGACCCATGCTATTCAGTATATTCAATTTATTCATTAACAACTTGGATGAGGGGGTAGACAGCTCAGTGATTAAGTTCACAGACAATACCAAGCTGTGGGGAAACACGGACACACTAGAGGACAGGGCAAAGATCCAGAATGACCTTGACAGACTGGATTTATGGGTGGAACAAAATCAGATGAGGTTTAACTGGGAAAAGTGCCAGGTCCTTCACCTAGGTAGGAAGAACTCTCACCACAACTGTACAGTGGGTGGTGGTCCAGTGGCTGGCACAGCATCTGAATGAGACCTGGGGGTCGTGATCAACAGGAAGATGAATGTGAGCCAACAGTGTGACGAGGCTGCCAGAAGAGCAAATAAAACTCTGGCATGCATCAGCTGATGTGCGGCCAGTAGATCCAGGGAGGTACTCCTCCCTCTCTATTCAGTATTAGTGAGGCCTCAGCTGGAGTACTGTGTCCAGTTTTGGGCACCACACTTCAAGAAGGATGTGGATAAGTTTGAGAGGGTACAAAGAAGGGCCACCCATATGGTTAAGGGCATGGAGAGCAGGCCCTATGAGGAGAGACTCCAGGAGCTGGACCTACTCAGTCTGAGTAAGAGAAGGCTGAGAGGTGACTTGATAGCTGTCTACAAGTACATCGGGGGGAGCATCAAGAACTAGGAGAGCAACTATTCAGGAGGGCACCTCAAGGGAGGATGAGGACCAATGAGCATAAACTAATAGAGGGTAAATTCAGGTTGGACATAAGGAAGACTTTTTCTCTGTAAGGGTCACCAGAATCTGGAACACACTCGCATCAGAGGTGGTACAATCACCCTTCTTGGAGGTGTGCAAGATGAGTCTGGACAGGCACCTTGTTGAGCTCATCTGACCCCAATAACTTCCTGCCCACGGCAGGGGACCAGACTTCATGATCTTCTGATTCTATGATTCTATGTTAACTAAACGATGACCTATGAAAGGCACATCAACATTAGAATGTCACCACTAACCAAATTACTTACCAGATGCTTCTCAATGAAAAAAGCCCCAAAATAAACAAAAAACCACTCGGATTGGAAAGGTACAAGCATCCCAAAGACCAGGGTTTTACAAGCCCCTTCTCAATGACGGCGTTGAATACTAGTATTAACACACGGGAAAGCAGCCGGCCTTGACATGCTTACTGGGAAAATCAAGCAATTCATACCCCACACTTGCTCAGGTGCTTCTAAAGCCTGCAAAGATCCTTCTGACCTAAAGAGCTTCAGACCTATCTCTCTGCTATGCTATGTTGTACAAACAACTGATACTGAACTGGATTACCCCATACATGGATAAACACCTAATCCCTTAACAGGCCATCTTTTGCCCTGGAAAATCAACAGTGAGCCAGCTGCTCAATCTCCTCAACATACTGATGATAGTTTTGAAAGAGGCCTAATTACTGGAGCTGTGTTCATCAACCTAACAGCTGCCTACAATACAGTTAACCACTGGTGACTCCTCCACAAGACCCTGGAAACGACAAAAGATCTACACTTACAGAGCTGATACGAACCCTGCTTGAAAACAAACTTTTTTTGTCAAACTGGATAGGAAGTGAAGCAGATGGTGGTAACAGATTGATAGCCTCCCCCATGAAAGTGTGCTTGCACCACTGTTGTATAATATCTATACGAATGACCAAGCAATTGAACTGGAAACAAAATGTTTCATTTGTGCAGATCACTTGTGCATAATGGCCCAAAACACTAGCTTTGACCATGTCAAAAAATCCCTCAGCAAAGTGCTAATTGGCTTAATCTCATACTACACCGAAAACCAATTATATGCCAACCCAGCAAAAACACAAGTATATGCCTTCCATCTGAAAAACCATGAAGGCAACTACCAGCTCAGTGTTACTAGCCCACTGCCCAAATCCAGTTTACCTCAGAGTCATCCTTGATCAAACCCTCTCATACAAAGAACATATCATGAAGACAAAAGCAAAGGTGAGTACTCATAACAACATCTTATATAAGCTCACCAACTTGAAATGGGGAGCTAGCCCCTCAACCATCCAAACTACTGCTCTGGCTCTCAGCTTCTCTGCTGAGTATGCATGCCCTGTATGCGAGACATCTGTATATGCTAAGCACCTTGACCCCATCCTGAATGGTAGCTGCTGATACATCACAGGATGTCTAAAGCCTACCAACCTATGCAGTGTGTACCTGCTGGCAGGCATCGTTCCACCTGACACCAGAAGAGCAGTGGTCAAGCCAAACTGAAGAAGTGAGACACCTGCTGTACACCCATCCCGCAGCACACAAATGTCTGAAGTCACGCAGGAGCTTCCTCACCAGGACCCAACCTCTCTGTCACACCCCAGGAGACACGACTACATTTGTTGAACAAGAAGCTAAAGAAAATACCTGACAGTGAAAAAATGCATATTCCAGCAGCTGAGTCCTTACCACTGTCTTGGACGGCTGGAGCTGACTCGAGATGATTCAAAAATCACTCGGTCGTTTGGGCGGGCTGGTGAATGGAGAGGCAGACAAAGCTTATTGGTTGCAAAAACTTTACTTACGCCGCTTGTAGCCGCGACGCAGGTGGTCCAGTCACTTGAACAACTATGTGAGTTGCTCCAGCTGGCAAGGCTCAGGCCAGCTAATCCATCCACAAATTAAGCCGGCAGGGAAAGGGTACGTCGAGGATTGCGCTCGGCGACGGGGAGAAGAATCGATAGGTGATCAGTCTATCGATCAGCTCAGCCACAAGTCAGATCTCTTTAGAGGCACTCTGCAGCGTGCTCAAAGTTCTCCAACTTGGGCGGAAGTCGCACGAAATTTTAAACGGCTAGAAAGCCAATTACTAGCCACCATGTAGGACTAA